CCTTTCCCAAGTGGCGACTCTGAATTAAATAAATAATCTCATTTCAAATATTGTCACTTAAATTGGAAAAACTCTCTCGCGCATTTAACCCTTCGGGGACGGGCGCGCAAAAAGGAGGTGTGACAACCATCTAGTTCATCCTTTATTGGGTGAATCATTCCCCCTATTTACTTTAGTGTCATTTATTGTTATTCATTGCTATTAAATGCTATATTATTATTCATGCTTTTTGGAATAGTTATTGCATGCTATTATCACTATTCGACCAGATCTATCTCACATTTATCACACTTTCAGAAGCTACATCTAGAAATATTATTGTTAACTAGGTTTAATCTATAATCATAAAAATTTTCTGAATGGAACTTTATTATCTTCAAAACATCTCTGATGTCTCTTTTTCCAAATTGTCCACCAGATGNGGGGGGGGGGGGAGGGGGGAAATGATTAACTATATAGCATAACTATATAGGTACATGGCAATACTTCAGTTCGGCAAAGTAACTATAAAACGACGTTTATACAAGGTATAGTCGAATGCCTACAAGAAAATTTAAAAGAAAAATCCTGAAATGTATATTGTCCAAGGCGGAGAATCTAAGACTAAACGTAAATATACAGACTACGAGACTTGAAGTATTCGACCATCACAACAGATAATCTTGAAATTTATAGTTTTCGATTTGTAGGAGGAAGAGATAAAGGGCAGAACTGGTCCCACTGGGCGTGCCAATTTGTTTGCAACTAATTTTCAATATATGAAAAATAAACTGCAATCACAAAATAGGAGAAAAATATTTTACTAATCAATTATGAGTACAATTCTGCTTCTCCCTTGATTCTTCTCTCCTGATTATCTCCGTGATTCAAGGGTTGAAGCCGCGTATTTCTCGACTGTAAGATGATGCAGACCTCCTGGGGGTGTATTTGATCTCCAGCTTCTTGAACTATTTGATTGTTAAGAAGTATCCGGCTATATTTTGATCTCTTTGTGAATATCCCAAGAGTTTATGGGATTTTGAGACACCTCTTCAAGGGAATATATATCCCTTAATATATGTGTGAGTTAGGGTTTAGGGTAGAGTAACCTCCAAGAAATCCTATGTAGACTCCTAGGATTTCAAGAGTCCTGTAGTATTATTAATTTAGGATTTGGCTTGATCCGTCAAAATTTCGATGTCTACAACATGATGTATAATCTTTTTATTCTCAATAAGAATCGTGTATGATAAAAAATAGTTGCATTTTAAAGATATAAGAATATGTAAAACTACATAATTAGTATAAAATATAAAAGGTTAATTGTGGTACCTTTTACCAAATTATATCATCTATTATATAGGTTGTTGTTGAACTAAAGTGACTATTGATAACAGGACGCGAAAAGATGATTGTTGACTTTTCTTAATTGGAACATCTTTTTTAATATCTTTTCATGATCAAACACTCATTAGTTTTTCAAATTATATTTTTAGACTTTTGAAACTGCATAAAAAAATAAGGTAAATTCATGAAAGATGAAAAATTTGACAAAGGAGTTCTACCTGGGAAGAAAAGAGACTAAACAATGACATAAACGGACTTTTAAAGCGACTGTTAGTAAGAGAACTTTAAAAGGCGATATGGCTACCAACGACAATCTCTGAAATTGTAAAAATAGTTGTTGGGATATACTATTAATCATGCGGTTTAGATATAGTATTATATTTTATTTTTTATGGAATAATTGTTTATTTAATTTATTCAATTCAATGAAGTACTATTTTAAATAGATCATTTGTTATATGTGTGTCCATTTAATTATGTAGTAGGCAATTTAGTGTATGGAGTCTTAGCTCATGCACAGAAGATTAAATTGTTGGTTCTCATAATTAATAAACTATACTCACAATCAAAGATAGTGTTGGACAAAATATCTTGATGATTGTAGCACAAGATTATAGTACAATTTGTCTTGATTATGAGAGTAGTTTTACTCCAACTTCTTGTGCTAGTATACTCAGTGTATATTGAACGGACCAAGTAGAGAAAAGATGTTTTTGTACTAAATGTATAAAACATTTTCTCTAATTCATTAAATGAGCTTATACTCTTAATCTTGATATAATTATTATGATCAATGTAATTTGTTTATTGTTTTGATTTATCAAAAGGTACGACTCTATTTAGAGTTAGTGTATGCCTAATAGATTGGACAATAACGAATAACATTTGTGGATAATAATTAGTTGATAGAATCCATGACTCGTTTTGAGTTTGATGATACCCCTTTATGTAAGCTTATAAGTTTTCATATGAAACCCGACCAGTGGATTTTGTATCCATCACATGAAATGTTTTAAGCGGAATTGTAAAGGATTTAATTAGTTGATTAAATTAAATTTTCAGTGATTTAATTTAATTAACTGGTATTTGAGATCTTAACATGGGGAGTTAAAATAAGTGTTATTGAATTTTCGAAATTCATATTGAGGAGTTCAATTGCTTAGTAAAATAAATTACAATTTGTTATAGTAAGAATTAACTCATGCTAATTTCGAATTAATACTATAACTGGTAGCCTCTTATTATTTATGTGGTCCCTACTATACCTAGTAAAAACCTGGACAAAACTTGAGTAAAAAGTGACTTGGGAGTAGAATTCTACTCGGAGAAGAAGAATCCTACACATTTTTTAAGGAAAATTTTCGTCCAAAAATAAGTTTATTAAAGGAAGACTAGTTTCATCTAATAACTTACTTTCAGTTGCAAAAAGTTACTCTGCCAAAATCAAAAGAAAATCACCAATCCTTATCACAAATTGCCTTTTACATTGTCCACAAATTTCCTATACTACACCGTTTGGTGATGACGGGAGAAGGACTCTAAATAGTATATTATAATTATTGTGATTATAATCAATTTGCAACTGATGTATGGTTTTTCTCCATAAACTGATGTAAAATTTTGATAAGTAGCTGCAACCAATTTGATATATTTTTGCAACATGAAATCACATGTGAATGTAATTTTTTGTCTTGCTATTTCTCCCTTTTTTCCAGTGAAGCACTTTAAATTTATAAGAGATAATGATAAAGGTATTTTAAGTGAAAAAACGATTTTTGGGGATTTTGCATAAAATTGGGAGGAGATTATTAAAGGAAAAATATAGGCATAAAGTTTAACCAATGTGAAGTAACGGGGAAAAAGAAAATAAAAACAACCAAAAAAGGAAAAAGAAAAGTTGCAAGAAAAGAAAATTGATATTGTCCGGCCTTTGAAAACAAAACAGAAAATGAGACAAACAACTACAATCCAACAAAATGAAAAATGAGATTATTTAATGACAAGATATAATTGCGTGAATTAAATTTACCAACTCTATTGCAACTTACTCTGGGATTTCACCATGCATGGCTCGTTTGGTTCCAAAAATAATATATTGATATTGATGTTTTGCACCCATAAGAAAATCACCATTATATCTAATGGAGCGAACAAAAAATTCCATACCGCTGGTATTTTGAAAAGAGCAAGCACGTAAATTTAATAATAGCAAATTAACAGCAAATTAACAGTGAAGACCAGATGCTCCGGTAAGGAGGTGCGAATGACCGGTTGTGGAGGGCACGAGAAGAGGTAGAGGGTGGCCTAAGAAGTATTGGGGGAGGTGATTAGACAGGATATGACGAGGCTTCAGATTTCCAAGGACATGACACTTGATAGGAACATGTAGAAGTCGAGTATTAGGGTTGTAGGTTAGGAGGTAGTTGAGTTTGACTTATATCAGGACTTTGTGAGACTAGTTTGGTAGGGATACTATTTCGCTTTTGCTTTGTATCTTTCTTCTTGATTTTATGTTGTTCTATTTTTCATACTATTTCTGTGGTGTTACTGATATTGTCTCCTTTTGTCTTTTTATCTTCTTGAGCCGAGGGTCTTTCGGAAACAGTCTCTCTACTCCTTCGGGATAGGGGTAAGGTCTGCGTACACACTACCCTCCCCTGACCTCGTTAGTAAAATTTCATTATGTTGTTGTTGTTGTTGTAAATTAACAGTGAAANTGTGTGTGTAATGGTGCATTATGTTTAATGATGAAAAACCTGTTCAAACTCCTTAATTAAGTGATGGAGCGTTTTCAGTTTTAAAATTAATTCTGATATATGATAAAGAACAATTATAGTGGTTGGTGAAAAGTTGATTAATTGCATTAAAGACCTTTTGGACAATAAAAGTAAGATAAATGGAGAAATAAAGGGGGAAAATTCAAAAAAGGAGAAAAAAGATAATTGATTTTCTTGGCCACAGAAAGGTGCCAAGTCAGTATTCTTTTTTCCTCTATATAGATATATAGATTCTTGGGACGTACATGTGAAATAATCTAAGGCATAAAATATGTATGAAATGACAATCTCACCTAACAAGGTATGCAATAATGAGATTTTATGCTTCCATAATTGCTTTGAGAGCCAAGAGAAGTTCTAAGTGTGCCTTTTCAAGTTTGATTGCATTTGACACACATTGTCTTCCCTATTTCAATTTAGAGGTTGAAAACGTTAATATATCTAGTACCAAATTGGTTGCAGATTCATTAAGTGGCCTCCTTTCTTTGACTTTGACAATCATTTTTAAAAAGATGAGCATAATGGAATGACTAAAAATGATTAAGATCTCTAATTGATTAAACCTTTTACCTGATTTTCCATTTTTTGGTTCCATACGCAGAGATAAAAACAAAGGGGAGCCTTGGAGGTGACGGGTTCGAGCCGTGAAAATAATCTCTTACAAAAATGCAGAGTAAGACTGCATACAATAGACCCTTGTGATCCGGTCATTCCCCGAACCCTGCGCATAGCGGAAGCTTAGTGTACCGGGCTGTCTTTTTTACACAGAGATAAAAACCTTTCTTTTTACAGATCCATCCTAGACATTATAAAGTAAAGAGTCTAAAGTGAGAACATAAGATAGTTTGTCAACCTAGTATTCAGTCAAAACTAGGAGATGGATCATATTCCTTCCAATGCCTCAAAATATACTTTTGTATATCTGTTTTCTGCCAAAAGGTATAACTTACATTGAATCTGAAATGGGATACATCAAGATGAACAAGGGGTCATGCCCAGGAAAGTCAGGAATTTCTGTTACACAATAACCAGATATTTTCAGACCTGCACCCCATGAGGTTTTTAAAACAAAACTAGATATTTTACTAATTATCTTGCTGATCTAGCTTGTCGAGACTCGCTCTAAATGCCGGTTGAGCTCATCTCGATACAACCTATTATCATCTATAGATGGGAAGATACACTACAAGCAGCAGCAGTATATCTTCTCTAATGATAAGCTCAAGCTGGTATCAAGTAATGTGTTTTATTGCAGAGCCTCAAATGACTGTATCGTCGGGGAAAGCATAAAGTCAATTTGTTGACATCACTTTCTCTGCAGAAGCAGCTTGGCATGTCGAAATGATTGGGAAGTTACAAGGCTAGAGCTCCAATCAGAGTTGATTACCATTGATGTTCAACTTGATTCATATCCTAGAGCTGCAAAAGTGCTGGTTATTGTTTTGCTTTCCAACTCTCTTTGGAAAGTCAGTACTTATTATTGTGCAACTGCACAACAATTTTTCAAAACTCCCTAAGTAACCATGGGGTAATCTTGATGCATTACTCCATCTTCTGCTCCACTCTCCTTTCTGAGTTCGCCAGTTTCTGATACGATAACCACCCTCTAAATAAATGAAACAACCTGTACTGACAACTGCTAAGAATACCCCCATCATTCTCATCTTCAGAAGTGCTGTCTTCATCATTATCTGAATCATCCTGGGATTGATCATCCTCCTTTTCACCTTTCCGCTCTTTGTCATCAAAGCCATTGGATCTGCAGATTGTGTGTTCCAAGATAATGTTAGTCCAAGTGCTCTACTGGTGTAGGAGTGCTAGAGTATTCATGAACATAGTAGACACTTCGGATGTGCAGTCTCAACAAAATACAGGGTGCAACTCTTATGATGTGAAGCTAAAGTGAATAACCAAGCTTACATAGGGAAAAGATGAAGCTACAAACGGAAATTCTTGACAAGAAAGGTCCAAACATTTCACACTTAATGTTTCAACACATACTTAGCTATAGTGTTAAACATGATTCCACAAATCGTTTGACTTCACCCGTAGGTTAAAAAAGCCAACCTTTTGGAAAAGTACGACCTCCTCCCACCAATCCCACACAATCGCCAGAGAGTAATAGACAAACCAAAACGGGAAAATATAAGAAATTCTTCAACCCTAAAGACCTAAAAAGCCTAACAGCCCATCCAATTTTTCATTTATAGAAGTAATTATTCTCACATGAAGTTCTTTGTCCTTTAACCCATTACTGCAAACAATGAACTATACTAGCAACGAGCAGAAGACAGTACTGATTTTTTTGTTGAACTAAAAAATTCAGGACAAGAGCATGTCTCTGTGTTTTCCCTTTTACACCCTAAAAATTTGAAAGAAGTCATATATGAGTCAAATGTTCTTCTTTTTCCATGTCAAGACCTCTTTAATTCCTTCAATTTTAAACATCAAAATGGCTAAAAATGCGTGAAGAGATTGGGAATCCTCTATTTCTACTCTGTTATCACACAAGGTAGACAATCATGCTCCCTCCCATTTACTCAAATACCACGAGAGTGATGTAAGTTGTGGTACCAAAATTATTGCATAAAAAACGAGTGTGCATTGCAGAATATAGATGACATGAAGAACAACTACATCTACAGAAAAGGATAAGGATGAAGTCGAAATTAGAGAACTTACGTGCTGGGTTCATCGAAATGATGGTCCCCTCCTTCTGGTCGCACCTTTACAGGATTGTAACCAATGGATACATGTCTCACAAAACTAAGCTGCAAAAAGAGAAAAAGAAATATATGTTAGAACATCAATTATATATTCAAACAGTTTCACTTGCACTAACACAGAAAAAATATCATTCTCGGGAAGGAGAATTATATCTATTGATGGCAAGATGGGACTCCATCTAAGACCTCTAAAGATAAGTTAGCTTGTAGAGTACAAGTTGCTCCGCTTTTGGTCACAGTTGGTTCTTGGCAGTTCTACATTCTACTTAATTAGAGGTGCAAATCTAGTAAAAGATACCACAGCATCTGGAAACAGATAACTGTGCTGATTTGTATACCCTGAGCAATCAATTCCAATGTCATAAATTATCCTTACTGTCGCCTCTCCTCTTTTCTTTTTCTCCTTTTTTGAGGTTGGGGGGAGGGGAGGAAAATCCATATAAACCAAGATCTTCATACAGACTTAGTTTTGACATTCTTCTGAATCAGTCATCACAGCTGCATAAGTTCACGTCACTGATGTGACGAACCAATAAAGAAATGAACCTTGGGCCCAACTCAACCTCAAAAGCTAGCTCATGAGGTGATGATTGCCTAAGACCATATACAGAGTCCAATTTCTATTCCCGCAGCCGATTTGGGACTCAAAAATAACTTTACAGGATGTGACCTATATCTAAAAGATCAGTCTGACAAAGTAAATTCTCATAGAAAGAAAATCTAAGGTGTTAAAAGAATCTCTGTTTGGCAGTTGTCTTTGCTAGTTTACACCAGATATGCTGATCTCAATGGTTCATCCATCAGAGAGTTATTAGCTTGAGAGAACAGGAGAGTAAAAGATCTTTTCTTTCTGTTATTTGGTCTTGGCCATCACCGGAAAGTAATACTTCATGATGAAAAAGAGAATTAGCCAACCAGATGGACCGTGAATAAACTTATGTTGGTGGCTAGTGAAAACATCAGCTGCAGAAGGTGAAGGTCCTAAAATTATAAAATCTAAGGATTCTACAATGCCTGAGCGTTAGATAGATTGAATAATTTAACGCCGTTCTTAGATAGCAGATTCCAATGTATTGACAACAAGCATACACCATAAAAACATATAAAATTATATGAAAATAATCTATCGCTAAACTTCCTATGACAGAGAATAAACCTCATCGCCATCCTTGATCCCATAGGTTCCTATTAAATCATCATCAGTAAGGAGCTTCTGTCCGCAATAACTCAGGCAAAAATGTCCCCATACATGTAACCTGCAACACAGTCAGACTCAAATTAGGAGTCTTACGAATTTAGCAATTTGGTAACTTTTTACATGTTCAGAAAGAAATCAACTTGAACTTTTGAACAAGCTAACACAGAAGTTGTTCGTCAGCTCAAATTTTGAACTCCAGTTAAAAAGTGGGAAACTAAGATGGAAACGTAAATCAATGGTTAATGAATGTAATCTAGGAACAACAGACCAGCCAAACGTTTTCACCAGTAGCTGTTGCTTTTAAGAAGGGGGCATAGGACATGGAACCAGTGTTTAATTTCCATTGGCCTTAATATCTTGAATGATTGAGAAGAAGAAAAATAACAAAATCACTTGAAAGTTTCTTTTTTCTTTTTTAGTTTAACTAGAAGTAATAATTTTTATACGTTCCACATTTTATCTTCCTATGCTGCCCCATATTCATAGCCAGGTGAACAAAACACATATGAATTAAGATCCACAACAATGCATCACAATTATGGATCCTAATGTAGAAAATTCATGATCGACAACTCATTTTCCCCATTGATGCAAAGAATTAGGAACCCGTTCTAAAGCATTGCATCAGGCACACAAAACCAAACTTATGTGGAATTGCAATAACGCCCCAATGCTCATTTGTTCTTTAAATTCCTAATATATTCAATGAACTTTAAACAACTCATTGAATCCTATTACCCCCCCCCCCCCCCC